GGCTAGATTCACCAAATGTAGGCCAATACATTTGTACGCACATGGAGTGTCTGGGTGTGCAACAGTTGCAACATGTGTCAAGGAAGTCATCTTGGGGTGGTTGATGATATTTCAATATGTTTTCATGATGATGTCCATGTTTGCTGGGTAGGGAGGAGCCTGAAAGCAGCTCTGGAAAGCGCTGCTTTTCCGTGACAAAGTCGTGTTTCCTTTCTTTTTGCGGACCAAGATCTCAGTACAAAACGTCGACTAGAACTCCAAAAAAAAGCAAGTGTGTTGGTACGACTGACCAGTTGAGGATAAAACACAAAAGCATACCAAAGCCATATCCATATCAAGGTATATCAATGTTATCAACACGCTCGAGTAACTTGATCATCAAACAACTGTCAATGCAAGGTTCACCAAGTATAGCTGTTGAGATCCGCCCAACAATCTGTTCTTATCCAGATCTTAGATTCTTAGATCCAGAATCCCAAAATACATCCTTTAACATCCCAACGGGCCCGACACCTCATCAGGACCAAGGACCAGCGCCAGGGGTGACTAGAGTTGAGGGGGATTCAAAGGTCTGTCGCACAGATTGCGCACGGAAACAGTGAGCTCTAACCAACGGGAGCTCAAGGTTGGCCAATGTATCCGGCATCTCAAACTACACGGCTCAAATCTTGCAAGCCAGTTAATTGAAGGTGCCCTCGCAGAAGGGCAGCCCATCAACCAATCCAATCAGAACACCCCTTGATTTGTCTCAACTCCCTGTCCAACATCCTTGACTTGTGCCCCATGTCCGACGAACGCGGCGTTTCCAAACGCGGCCTGGACGGGGACATCTGCGATGGGCCTCGATCGGCGCAGGTCGATCAGAAGCTGAGTCGGCCCGACTCGTCCCCCTGGTTGGGTTGGGCGACTCGTCACCAGTGCTGGCTTTCAACCAGTGCGGCCAGTGCGGGTGCCAAAACATGCATAAAGGAAGATGGCGGAGAAAAGAAGGAGCCAGCCATCGCAAGCTCCGGTTCATCTCTCCACCCTGGGCAATCCCAACCAAAATAAGTTGTTCCCATCGTGTGCCCCTGTTCTTCTTTCCTTTGCGAGTGTACTAATAGCACTTCACACCACTACAACCAGCGGCCTGCCAGAGTCACAGCTAGCTCTCTCCCCCTTGGGGAAGCACCACGTGCTGTTTGCACAGGCAACCAGCCCATGAAGGTATTTGCCTGGCATCGGGATCTCTTGCACCAACATCCAACTGTGAAGCTCTTCGGAGAACGTGGTAGAAGCACTTTGGTCGCGTTTCCCGCACGTTCATCACGTGAAAAGTTCAAGTATGTTCGGGTCACCCACCCCAGAGTCCAAAAGGACCAATTTATATAGGTCAAAGCTTCTTGGCAACGTGAAGGTTCGCCTAAGCGACGTGAAAATGATCCACAAATTCGGAAAACCGACCTGGCCGGGCCAAAAAGAGCTCCATTCACTGTGCCCAGCACCCAACACGCTGGTCCCAGTTGATCCTGGTGTTTCCTGGTGACATGGGTGTCCAAAATCGAAACTGGAAGAGGCAAAGGTTGATATCTGATGCTCATCCCCCAGGCCCAGTGTCAACGTTTGCCATCCCTCACATTCCAGCACCCAATCAGCTAAAAGCGCGAAAAAGGAATTCCCACGGTACATGCTTCAAAACATATATCCCCCACACTTGTTTTTGCACTTCGTAAGCCGTTGGTCAGCCAGTAGCATCCCCCACAAAAAGAACATACGTTTAAACGATTCAATTCGCAGAATTGGACCGAACCGCCCGCCCGCCTCGGGGCGTGAGCACCGGTAGGCGGCCAAGGCGGCCACCTGGCGTTCTCCGAGATTCAGGCCCCAAGCTAAAGCTATACCCAAACACTCCATGTATGCCATATATGCCTACATTGAATCCTAAAACCACCCCCAATGTAAGCATATATTGGCATACATGTCTGGGATATGATATAATTGAGCTCGATTTTGCTAAGGCCACCTTTCGTGAATTCTAAGGGGATGGGATCCTCAATTGCTTTGTCTGCTCTTCTTTCACCGAATCATCCCCACACCTGGCCCCTTTGGAACGAAAAAAGCTCTTGAACAGGTCCACCATGTTTATGAGAAGTTTGTGGAGTGAAACCTTTGCCATCCGCATCTCATCGTCTCACCGTGTCAAACCACGCGGTCTTTGCCTACATAGGGCTCCAAACGGCCCATCTCCCACCCGGTGACCGGTGGTCTTCGACCCAGCCCAAGACCACCCACCCACCCCCTGGCCCCACCGAGTTGCAGGTCGGGTCCGACACATCGATGCGAACGAGGCGCTGTGAGGCTGCAGCAGAGGGTGGCGGACACCGCCACCAGGATTTGCCAACCACCGTGGATCACCTCGTCACATCGCCCAAATGCCCCGCGTGCACCGAGGCGAGGGCTGGAGCGATGTCATCGGCATGTCGCATCGGCATGTCCCGTGCACCAGTGGGTGGCTGACGCAAGTGGTGCTCACATACAGGAATAGTGTGTATGCCTACATTGACCCACCAAAAGGATCCAACGCAAGCAAATACGGAATACATATATGTGTGTCTGGGATGGAGGGTCTTCAACCAAGCGCTCAGGCGGTATTTCAACACAAGGAGGTCGACAAAAAAAGGACGGCAAATTGTCAAAAGCATGGGTTGTGATTAGTATGATAGATATAGGATGATCATTTGGGGCACAAAGCGTCCAACATGTGTTCAACATTCCGAAGACACCTGGTATGAAGTCAAATATGACACAAACATATCAAAGAATTCATCGACTCGCATCGACAAACACCATGGTGATCAGACTTGCCCATTCAGGTCTTTCAAGCTGTATAGAGAGGGAGAGAGAGAGACTTGGCAGAGGCTAGGCCCTCTCAAAGAGGATACACTCCCTGAATCACCCTGGTTTTTTCATGGTTACGTGGTTCCTGCCATCCAGGGCCGTTTTGGTCTTCATAAGTCTTCATCGTTCATCCTTGCAGGGCCGTTCATCCTTGCAGGGCGTGTAATCCATCCACTGAACCATCCTTCCAGGGAGTGTCATTACCTCAAATACACCCACATACCGAGACCACCCCCCTCCATCGTACGTTCGTGGAGAGACCGCTGTACGTTTGTGGATGGCCGCAGCGTCAGATCGCACATGAAAAATGCGTTTCCTATCCCAATGGATCCAAATAAACCACGATAAGGATCGCTAACCAGTGCTTCCAAGGACTTCAATTAGACTGTAGACCCATATATTCAAAACTTATAGGCTCTCCACAATTATAGGGTTATCCTGTAGGAGTGTTTGAAGTCCTGTTATATCAGGAACGGTTGTTATAATTTCGGTCTCTGGGATCCACTTGCTTCACTTGCCCTCCGGTCGCGACTCGTGACGTGACTCTCGGTCGGCGAATGCGCCCAGCCGCCCATGCGAAGAGCTCGTCCAACCTGGAAGGCTTGGAGGCACCTGACAAAGGAGGCTCGGCCAATTCCATGGCCTTTTTCCCAACCCAAAAACCCGTGGCAAATCCAAGAGAAGTTTTTCAATGTTTTTCACGGCCCTGCCCTTTCGCCCATCCCATATGTACCACCACTACAGGGTCCTATATATAAGGTCTCTCAACCAGCATGTCAAAATGCTTCTTTTCGATGGTGTTGATGAGTCGCGACCCTTGGTGCTTCATGAGTTCGGGGAAAACCCCATGGCTGTCCAAACCATGATCAAGCCATGGCCATTCTACCGAATGTACATTTCACAGAACTTGATCATGCACCCTGTGCACATCATCATGGCGCTGTTTTCTTACAAGGACCCCTTAAGGGGTGCCAATTGGTGGCTATCGGGGTGTCCCTTCACCACCCATTGGGCTTCACACACCATAAAATTACCCTCGGAGTGGCTATAGAATTCGAATGATTCTATCGGCGCAAATAAAACTATATATATAGTTATATCTCCCTCTCTAGCGAGAATGACTCATCCCAGTATATATACTTATAATGTAATCATGTCTAAACAGAATGACATCCCAACAAATATATCAATTTCCAATGCCCAAATAAAATCACATATATATATATATACACCGGCCGTAAGCTCCCGTCCCAATTAGCTCCCGTGCACCGGCCGGTCCACCGGACCTTCTCCTCCGTCTTCGAAACCTCGAAGCTCAGCGCCCAACTCCTCAAAGCTCAACTGGTCCCGCAGACCTCAAACGTCGGGTGGGAAGCGCCACCAGGCTCCTATTGAGTAAAATGTTTGAGGAACCTGGTGGAAGTCTGACTGTTTTTTGTTTACGAATTTACTGGTGGTCATGTTGATTAGGAACCTGGTCAGTGACTGGTGGGATAAGAATGGATCAGGATATGATACTAAAATACTGGTGGTATACTGTTCTCAATACCTGTCATGATTCTGGTCAATAACTGGGATTTGTTTGGGGATTTACGTGGTCTATGTTTATACATAGACTGAAATTGGGATTCGGGTCAATGACTGGGACATGTTCAAACGATTGATTGTTGACATATTAACTGAAGCCTGTGAAAGGATATGTTCATCGTTGATTCATCATCATTCCTGTTTTGCTGGCTTGATCTCGTGGCCAAAGGCTTCTTGAATTTAATCATGCCCACCAAGCATCGGCTTGATGGAAAACAGTGAGCCCGGTCGCACGCACTCTTGCAAACTGAAATCACTCCGGAAACAAGCACCGATTCATAAGGAAATGTGTGTTCAAAAAAATTGTAAAAACATCGTCGAATCTATTTCATTCTAGCCCTGCTAGTCACTTCCAAAAGCTAAGAAGAAACTCCTCCCTAACCTGCTTTCGGCACAGCGGAACCACTTCTTCCAGAAAAGAAAATGCATGGGAACGTCGTCCTTCAGGGGGACCTTTTCCCACATCTTCCTGCATTCAAAAGTCACTGCAAATCCCTTCTTCCACTCCAAGCAAAAACAGTGCTTCACAGTGCCTTTTCTCTCCTCAGCGTTTTCTCCAATTTTCACGCCCCGGTGGGTTCCAGCCGCGTTTCGGCCTCCCCGGTCGTGCCCATCTCGACCTCACAACCCTCGGTGCCCTCTTTGAGCGCCAGCAGTGCACGGTGACGGAGGAAGTGGTCCAGGCTATGGCTGAGCTCAATGATCCTAAAGCGAGCGGACCAGGCTATGACCCACCCGTTGGTGGCGAGAGGGAAGAAAGGTGCCAAGAGAGTTGAGATGCTCCAAGCCTTGAGCTCCCAGCTTTGGCGTTGGGGCGTGGACACTACCCTCTTGAGGCAGTTGGATCCCTATGGAACCCTCAAGGCCTCAAATATGGGTCAATCCTGAGCGATACAAATAGTTCATCCATACTCAACAGCATTCGGAGATAATTGGGATGTCTTGCGGAATCTTCCGGGATTTTTTGGAGTCTTGAAGTGATAGAGATAGATAGATAGATAGATAGATAGATAGATAGATAGATAGATAGATAGATAGATAGATAGATTAGATAGATTAGATCAATAGATAGATAGGTTAATTAAATAGATAGATAGATAGATAGATAGGATAGATAGATTAGATAGATTAGATAAATTAGATTAGATAGATAGATAGATTAGATTAGATTAGATTAGATTAGGTTACATTAGATTAGATCAGATTAGATTATATTACCTTAGATTAGATTAGATTAGATAAGACAAGACAAGATAAGACAAGATAGATAGATTCGATAGATAGATAGATAGAAAGATAGATATATAGATAGATAGATGGACATATAGAATAGACGAATAGAATAGAATAGATAGATAGATAGATAGATTGGTTAGATAGATAGATAGATAGATAGATAGGTAGATATATGGATAAATAGATAGATAGATAGATAGATAGGTAGATAGGTAGGTAGATAGATAGATAGATAGATTAGATAGATTACATCTGGCTGAACTAGTATATTTCATAGGTCGTTGGGTCGTAATTCGCTATTTCAAAATGGAAATAAGGATTAGGTCGTTGAAATACCAAAATATTGGGTGAGGTCGGGGTTGGTGCGCGCGATGTGGCGCGGCGGGGCTGAACAGCGGCTTCCATGTTAATCTAGGTTTTTTTTTGCTACCACTTGTGCCCAAACCGCTGGGAAACCAGAAACGACCTATCTGACTCAGATAGGCTTGTTTTGCTACCGCTTGTGCCCAAACCGCTGGGAAACCAGAAACGGCCTATCTG